CAGAGAGGAAGGGAGAAGGAGAGAGAGATGGAAACATCAATGATGAGAGAGCATCATCGATCAGCTGCCTCCTGCATGCCCCACACTGAGGATCAAGCCTGCAACCTGGCATGTGCCCTTGACCGGAGTCAAACCTGTGACCCTTCAGTTCTCAGGCCAATGCTCTATCCACTAAGCCAAACCAGCTAGGGCAGGGTATGACATTTCTTAGCCCTCCAGCAGTGGACCTTCGTTTTTTTCGCCAGGAGTGTGGTGAAAAACCCTAGATCACCTTTTTGGATTCTTATTACCCAAGTTACTAAGAATATTACCAGTGGCATATAGGGAGCTTAACCAACGAGCGGTCAGAAAAGGTGTTTCCTCTGTAGTTTACACCAATAGCCGGCTTGCCCCCCCCCCCAGGCCTGACGCCTCGGCCAGAGGCGTCAACCCCCATCATCCTTTGATCACCAGATCAGCCCTTCGCCCAGGCCTGACGCCTCGGCCAGAGACTTTGACCCCCATCACCCTCCGATCGCAGGATCAGCCCCTCGCCCAGGCCTGACACCTCGGCCAGAGGTGTCAGGCCTGGGCAGGGGACCCCCATCTTCCCCTGATCACCGGCTCCGTCCCCCTCCCAGGCCTGATGCCTCTGGCCCAGGCGTCAGGCCTGGGCAGGGGACCCCCATCTCCCTCTGATCGCCAGCTCGGCCCCCCACCCAGGCCTGTCACCTCTGGCCCAGGCTTTAGGCCTGGGAAGGGGTCTCCCATATCCCCTTGGTCACTGGCTCCACCCCCCACCCAGACCTGATGCCTCTGGCCCAGGCATCAGGCCTGGGCAGGGGACCCCCAGACCCCTCCGATTGCCGGCTCCGCCCCCCGCCTAGGCCTGACGCTTCGGCCAGAGGCGTCGACCTCCATCACCCTCTAATCGCTGGATTGGCCCCTTGCCCAGGCTGGATGCCTCCACCAGAGGTATCAGGCCTGAGCAGGGGACCCCCATCTCCCTCTGATCACCGGCTTCTGGGCGGCTTCTGGGGCTTCTGGGGCCGGCCTGTGGCCCGGGATGGCAGCTTGCGCTGGCGGCTGCGCTATCCCGCCCTGCCTGCAGTATGCAAATTAGCCACCACCTTTGTTGGCAGTTAATTTGCATACCGCACTGATTAGCCAATGGGAGGTGTAGCGAAGGTACGGTCAATTACCATGTTTGTCTATTATTAGCTAGGATAATAAAATAAATTAAAATAGTGCTACATCTTCAAGACCTTCTCTGCAGCTATTGTCCATTGGCTGTCCACAGGGCTCAGAGGGGTGTCAGGAAGCACACACAAGTCCTCAGCAGGTATCTGGCAATGCACACAGCTCTGTTTAGATGTCCACTATCAGAACACCCTGGCACACATAAGAGCTTTCAGAGTGGGAGGGAAAAAGAATATATAGGGTGTCCCAAAATTCACGCAAGAAGTAATTTTGATAGAAAACACAGGTTTATAATTAAAAATTGTAAATTTTTTATTGATTCATAAAGTATACAGTATAGGGTTATGTATGGAATGGCACATCGGGTAAGTGGCTTCCATGGCTTTGCTGGCACATATGCAAAGCTGTGGTCTTCATTGGTCTTCATTGTCCCTGCTCCTGGGCCATAATTGGTACTTGGTAATACTTATCAAATTGAAGGGATTGAAATCAAAGGGCAACAGATATTAGAATCTGATTCAATAAACCAAGTAAAATTAGGCTTTTATTTTTTGTTGTTGTTGTTGTTAATGCTCACGCAAAATTCAAATCTTACGTGAATTTTGGGACACCCTGTAGAAAGGTTCAATAAAGATAAAGACCTGGCATCTGTCTGAGCACTTTTAATGAACCTAATGAAATCTGAGCTTCCACGGAGTCTAGTTATTGTTGGCCACCTGCCTTTCTCCATATGTTGGGGCCTTTCAGCCACTGCCCTCTACCATCTTTCCTACTTTCCGCGGGAAGAGCTGGCTGTACCTCAGCTGGAACAGCCTGGGACCATCACAACCTCAGCAGTCCTCCTCATGTTGAATAGAATGCATGTCCTTAGGTTGTTTTCAGGAAAAAAAAATTCCCTCAGTGTGAGCTGAGAGTTGGTGCATGCAGTGCTCCTAACAGACTGCTGGGCTTCCCTGAAGTGGACTTGTTGACACGTTAAGCACCATAGTTTGGGACTCTACTCTTTCTGGCAGCTACCTATTATTCTTTGTCACACAAAAATGCTCCCACACAGATTGTTTCCCAGAGAGAGATGCTGAAGTAGGATAGGCATCTGAAGTCCATCACAGGCTGGGATAAATTATCATATCAAATTTTCTCCAGAGAGGGATTAGGCTAACAGCCAACTTTGGAAAGCATTGACCCCCTTCAATTGTGCAGGCCACTTAAGCTAAATGAAGTAAAAACACCATCTTGACTTTTACAAGCCCTTTCTCCCAGGAGAAGAGCAAACCTTGGGAAACTGTGGTTCTCCTCTATGAAGTTATTTGGGAAGGTAGCGAGGAATCTCATGCTTCCAATGAGCCCAGTAAACTTGAGTTACACCACCTGAGAAGAGGAGTCCGGCCTGGCTGTGCTCGTCACCCACGGCATGTAACTGAGACAGCCACTTTCATACAGGCCATCCCCAATCCAGGGCCAAGTAAAATCCAGGAAAATGGAAGCTTTCAGTTTCATCTGAGGTGGGTCTACTGCCAGAATGTTCCACGAAGGCAAACAGCCTCCACTGTTTGGACATCTTGCCAGAGAACATGGCTGTGGCACCAGGCCTGGCACCATGGCCCTGACAAATACTTGTGGGAAACTGGTTTGTCACGGGCAATCGTTACACCTGTGGTTAGAATAAAATGACTCCTTTTAAAACTAGAAGCTCTGGAAAAGCTGAGTTTTAATTACACATTATTTATAACGAAGTTTTTATTTTGACCACTAAAACAAAATTTTGCCAATAACTAAGAAAGATTAAAGTCATTAATGAATGTCAGAGAAAAGATCTTCCATCAAGAAATGGGAGTTGAAAAAGAGAAAGCCACTTGACCTTGTGCTATAGCTGGGAACAGAGAATTAAAAAAACAGACCTTCTGGGAGTTCCTGGGAAAGTAAAATAAGGAGAGTTCCCATCAAATGTCCTTAGCATTTTGTAGGTCCATATGATAAAGTTAATAATTGCCCACTTTGTAATATAATAGTGTGCATTTTTAAATAAATATTACCCTTGTAACAGTGCTTCTGGAGGCTCTAGCCACTCTGAAAATTGAATGGATGGTTAGGACAATATTCTACATTAGACATGATTCTTTCTGATTGCCATCATTTGGAAAAAAACCAAAACAAACACATGGTAAATTATTAATACTACCTCAACCTGGATAGACAATGTTGAAATTGTAAATTTCAAGCATTTGTGAAAACATATTTTGGATTTGTTTTCAATCCCAAAAGCCTATTATTAAAGGGCCCTTTCTTTTTCCATATAGATCTTTCAGGGAAACACCAACCCCACAGATGTTGTGTTTGGAGTTTTCCCCAAACCACTGATAACTCGATTTGTCCGGATTAAACCTCTGACTTGGGAAAATGGCATATCTATGAGGTTTGAAGTATACGGCTGCAAGATAACAGGTAAGGTCTGGCTTAAAGATTGCCTAGTGTAAATATGTCTCTTTTCTCCGCATCCAGCGCAGCTAGAGAGCAGTCGGGTTCCTGAGTAGGGGTAGATGAGGATTCAGAAAATGAAAGAAAGAGACAGACACAGAGATAGAAGAAAAAGCTGGGGCCGGGTGGGACCACTGTCCTCTGATGATGAGACAGGGACAGAAACAGTGACCCAAGGCCAATACAGTGTATTTATTTTATACAGCAAAAAACAGGAAGTTTTACTAAAAGTCAAGACAAAGGAGATTATTTGCATTCTTGGGTGGGCCTGAGTCATATTCATTCCTGGATTTAAATAACAAAACCCACCCCCTGGCACCTGGGCTGAAGGTCAAGCCTACAACACTCCTGTCTTTTGGCAAAATGTGTTTCCAGGATGTGACTTTGACAACACCACTGGCTTCAGCTGATAATAATTAAAGAAATGCCCATGTGCCTTCCCAGGCACTCTCTATAGCCTAGTTATCTACACTAATAAAAGACAAACATGCAAATTGACCGTACCTTCGCTAGACCTTAAGCCACGCCCACCAGCCAATCAGAGCAACTATATGCAAATTAACCCAAACAAGATGGTGGCCTGCAGCCACGGAGCTAGAGCAAGCAGGAGGCTTGGTTGCTCCAGTGATGGAGGAAGCCAAGCTTCGCGCCTGCTGCGGCCGGCTCTGAGCTCCACTCAAGGCAACAAAGTTTCAATTATAGAAGATAAATAAACCCAAATTTTGAGATCAATCACTTGTTTCTCAGAAGGCATGGATAAAACTCCAATTCATTCATTCACTCATTCATTCAAAAATCAGCACGTAGAACACATTATGTTCCAGGCATATAAGACACAATAACCAAGGGCCTAAATAGACACCTTTCAAAAGAGGACATCCAGAAAGCCAAGAGACATATGAAAACATGCTCAAAGTCACTAATCATCCGAGAAATGCAAATCAAAACAACAATGAGGTACCATCTCACACCTGTCAGAATGGCTATCATCAACAAATCAACAAACGACAAGTGCTGGAGAGGATGTGGAGAAAAAGGAACACTTGTGCACTGCTGGTGGGAATGCAGACTGGTGCAGCCACTATGGAAGACAGTATGGAGTTTCCTCAAAAAACTAAAAATGGAACTCCCATTTGACCCTGTGATCCCACTTCTAGGAATATATCCCAAGAAACCAAAAACACCAATCAGAAAGGATATATGCACCCATATGTTCATAGCAGCACAATTCACCATAGCTAAGATCTGGAAACAGCCTAAGTGCCCATCAGTAGATGAATGGATTAGAAAACTGTGGTACATCTACACGATGGAATACTATGCTGCTGTAAAAAAGAAGGAACTCTTACCATTTGCAACAGCATGGATGGAACTGGAGAGCATTATGCTAAGTGAAATAAGCCAGTCAATGAAGGAAAAATACCACATGATCTCACACATTCATGGATAATAGAGACCATTACAAACTTTTGAACAATAATAGATACAGAGGCAGAGCTGCCTCAAACAGATTGACAAACTGCAGCGGGAAGGCCGGGGAGGGTTGGGGGACAGGAGGGA